TGCTTGTACCTTTAAGAGAATCACTTTGAATCAAAACATAACGTTAGAATCAAATAAAACACGTAAGACTAAGAGCAGAGACACGCCCACTCACATGTAAACAAACTTTTTAGCCACATTAAAAATGGCCGCCAACAAACTCAAATGTGTCCGTGTCACGTAACCTCGTACGGACTCTAGTTTAAAAGGAGGTAACTCTATGTAATATACTCGTAATACTAGAGCTCGCAGCATTAACGTCACACGTGTCATTAGACATGGTGGCCCTCTTACCCCCTTCGGCATGGCCGGCTTGCCCCCATTTACATGAACAATTTGAGCCCACCCCACTCCCCATGAGCTGTCCCCCTCAGTGTAAGCTTATAGATTTCCTGTTAAGAGCACCGAGACACCTCCACGTGAGTCTCAAAAAGTACTCACCCGTCTTTTGAACAGCGCTTGTCTTGCTCTTGCACGCACAGCCCCTTTCGTTTACGCTGGGGACATCACTGCCCCGCACTCTAGCACTAAATATAACCTCTTCGGTCTGCCCTTGCAGGATAGCCATCGTCAGCTACGTATGCGTGGAGCATCTCACACAGCCCAGGTTTACGGCTTACGGCAAAAACGACTCCTCGCCCGGTTCCAACTACGTGAGTTGCATTTTTATTGCTCACTCTCTCACTCAGTAGCTCACTCCACCAAACGTAATCTTAAGACTCTTTGTTAGGCCCATTTCCCTGCTAGTATACAGCGTACATTTAGTTTCTCTCTCAGTTGCTCCCGAGGAAGGCCAAGAGGCGAAACGTTGAGCTGTGTCTATTAAACAAAATGTAAACATTTTATATTTTTATATTATTTTGTCTGAAATTCAAAACAAGACTCTCCCTCCTACTCTGCTTTCCAAACAATTATTATTACTATGATGATGATGATGATTATGATGATGATTATTATGATTAATATTATTATAGTTATTAATTTGCCCCGTTCTATTAACAGCTTTTCCAGCTCGAATCTATGTGTGCTTGTGAGAATGCTTGTCTACCAGACGAATCTGAGGGCCTCAGCGCAGGGTCTGTGCTGCTCATTGTGTGAGTTTAACTACTTGCGGTCTTTAGTTGTATTTGTTTTTGGTTTCTTTTTTTTTAACTCTGAAAATATTGTTTTGTTTTATCGCTTCTTAGATTTGCCAGTTATATATTTTACCTTTTTTGACGGAGTTCATCTTATTCCTTGTCGGACACTGTTTATAAATTACGCAAGTTTTTTAAACAAAGAAAAAAGAAAGTACATGCAGTTTAGACTAATTTTCATAACAGTTTTTTGTTTGTAAGAAAATCATTTTTTAATCTTCTCACTCCCAAAAATTGATAATATATATTTTAAAGTTTGGAATAGAAATATTGTCACCTTTATGCTTTCAGCACTTGGTCCGTTGCTGGCTACCCTGTTTTGAATATGTGAAGACGTGTATACCTGAATATACTAACAGTATTTCGTGGTTGGTTTTTGCGCATTCTCTAAGGTATCCTCTCTACTGTAGGTTTATTTATCTATAGGGAAAGACAGAAGCAGCCTTGTGCAATGTTTCTTCTTCGTACTTTTTTAAAGCTTGGTCGTCTAATGGTAAAAGTAAACTTGAGCCCTTCATTCGGAACTTACTTTACCCACTCCGCAAATCCACATCAAGGGTCTTCACACTCTGTGGGACTACATATGGGTGCGCCGTGATGTTATTCCCAAAAGACTGCTATTACTCAAGTAAAGAATAAGGCAGTCGAAATTTGGGTTTACCTGTCTGTAGATGCACATCACAAAATCGTTACAGACAATTTAATTGGTTAGTCCCAATTTTTTCAACGTCTCAGTTCAACAAATCCAGATTCCCTGCTTAACCGAAAATTCAAAAAGAGGAATAATTTGAAACGCTGTAGACAACAGCATTCTTGAAAATAGCCGTGGAACTGCCTCCCTGTTCTCCGCAAAACAATACAGGCAAAATCTGCTATTTCTGGGTCCACTTGGCAGAGAGATTAGCACATTAGGGATTATACCACTTCGAAACCCAACACAATTTGTCTATTAATCAGGTGGCACCAGCAAAAACAAACTAAAACTTACAAATCTATGCCAGTGGTTCAACCCCTCCCCCCTCCCCCCTTTTTTTTCCTTTTTCCCTCCATCCCGCAAATCTAAATTTTACCTTCTATTTTCTTTTCTTTTTTAGTTTCTTCGTGCTCCTGTTTGTTTACCTAGTCCTGGGTACCATCCACGGTAAGGTCAGCCGCAATGCCACAGGCCTCGAGATGTTGCCAAACTATGAGTTTTGGACAGGGTTGCCTGGAATGATCAGGGTGAGTGTCACGCCCG